CTGTAGTGCAGATTTTGATAAAACAAACGAACAAACAAAAAATACCAAAAAACAACAACAACAAAACTCTCAAAGATCCATAGGCCACAGGCAGGCGGCTGCTGACCTCAGTGTATCCTGTGCCTCTTGTTAAGCAGCCCCAGGCATGGCACTGGTGGCAGCAAGCCTCAGTTTGCAGTGTGGCCTCTCCCATATAACTCTGGGCCCAGCACAGGCAGCTGCCAATCTCGGATCACTCTGTAGCTCCTACCAGTTAGCCCCACATTGGGCATAGGCAGCAGCTGACCTTGGCCTGTACTGAAGCCCCTCCCAGAGGCCCCAGAACCACAACAGAGCACCCTCCAATTAGCTGCCCAAACAATATGCCCCAAAGTTGGTCTTGGCAGGCACCAGAGCCCTGCTGGGGTGAATCTCACTTCATGGGGTCAACAGCTTATCTGCTGTGATCATTGCCAGTCCTCATAGCCAGTCAACTCGAGAGTCAACACCAACCACCAATATGCCAACAGCATTCAAGGCTCAACTACAACAGAAGGGCAAACACAACACACATGGGACATTCCTGGACCACCCAGCTCAGGTGACCAGGGAGAATGCACCACTGGGCCCACAGGACACCTACTACATAAAATCACGCTGCCTACACTGGGAGATATAGCAGATCTCCCTAATATATAGAAACAAAAAAGAGTGGCAGCCAAAATGAGGAGACAAAGAAACATGTTCCAAATGAAAGAACAGGAGAAAACTTCAGGTAAAGAACTAAATGAATGGAGGCAAGCAATCTACCAGATATGGAGTTCAAAACACTAGTTATAAGGATGCTCAATGAACTTAAGGGAAGAATAGAAGAACTCAGTGAGAAATTCAATGAAGAGACAGTAAACATAAAAAACGACATAGAAACCATAAAAAGGAGCCAGTCAGAAATGAAGAATACAATAACCGAAATGGTGAATACACTAGAAGGAATCAACAGCAGATTAGATGAAGAAGAGTATCGAATAGGCGTTTTGAAAAGACAAGGTAGCAGAAAACACCCAATCAGAGCAGCAAAAAAGAAAAAGAACTTAAAAAAATGAGGATACTTTAAGCATTCTCTGGGACAACATCAAGCAAACCAATATTTGCATCATAGGGTATTAGAAAAAGAAGAGAGAGAGCAAGGGATCGAAACCCCATTTGAAGAAATAATGATGGAAACTTCCCTGACCTGTTGAAGGAAATAGACACACAAGCCCAGGAAGCACAAAAAATCCCAAACAAGATGAACCCAAGGAAGCTCACACCAAGACACATTCTAATTTAACAAAGGTTAAGGACAATCTTAAAAGCAGCAAGAGAAAAGCAGTTAGTTACCTACAAGAGAGCTCCCATAAGACTATGAGCTGATTTTTCAACAAAAACTTTGCAGGCCAGAAGGGATTGGTACTAAATATTCAAAGTAATAAAAAGCAAGGACATACAACCAAGACTACTCTACCCAGCAAGGCTATCTTTTAAAATCAAAGAAAAGATAAAGAGCTTCCCGGACAAGAAAAGTTAAGGAGTTCATCACTACTGAAGTAGTATTACAAGAAATGTTAAAGGGACTTCTTTAAGAAGAAAAGGAAGAAGAAAACATATATATATGAATAATAAAATGGCAAAAAAAGTAACCTCAAAAAATGTTGAATTGCGTTCATTTTCCTGAGATAGGCCTGGAGTTGAGGCATTGGAATCGTAGTAGGTATGAGGTTTAATGGCCATCTTATTTCAGAAGTATATATTAAAACAAAATACACCTTCGATAAAATAGAAGCCACAGCTGCTTTTTTTTTTTCCCCTTGACAGCTAATGATGGCAAGGCTAATGACTTTGCTTAAGACCATACATAGAAGTAGCTGGAAGGACCCCTCCCCATAAGCATGAAGGAAGAAACTTGGTTTCCTAATCAGTGTAGCAGGGTGGGATACATCAGTTTATCCAGTAGCTGTAAGAAATTGTTCAGCTATAGGTATAAAAGGAGAGAGGCCAGCTAGCCTATTTTCCTCCATTTATGACTGGAATTTTTTCCTTCAGAATTCCATTCCTCTTGACTCCGGGTTTTATACTGATACCATAGTAGAGACAAGGAGAAATAGTTAAAGCACATGGGTTTACATCAAGGTACTGCAGTTTGAGTCACACGGGCTCCTGGCCATGAAGTTACAGTTCTGGTGGTGTCCTTCTTCCATGCTTCTGTCTGCAGTTGCGGACATGGATTCCCTAAGTACAAAATGCTGCTGGCTTTCTCTATAATACACAGTAACTTCCTGTGAGAACTTGGGACAACCGCTTAACCTCCCAACTTTATGGTTCCTTATCTGTAAATGGAAATGACAGTTCTTTCTTTTCTCATTCCCAAGATGGGTACAAGGATCCTCTGAGAAAACTGATATGGAAGAGCTGTGAAATGATAACCTAAGTCTGTGTAAGGCATAACCCTGCTAATCCTTTCCTCGGAGACATCGTGCCTTGGGCCCACTGCCCGGGGTGGCATAGTGAGGAATGCCCTGGGCTGGCAGATAGAGGATATGGGTACTGGCACTGAGAAGACACGGAATAACCCGTGTTAATGCAGGCAAGCAACTTAACTTTTGCTGCCAGGCTCCTGCTTGGTCAAAATTTCCATCAACTGATAACTACCTGCAAATCGTCCATGTTCCTCTTCTGTTTTTTAACCCTGCCAGTTGTCTTTTCTTAGAACCCTCTAAACAGTGTTTAGTATTCTTCCATGTGTTTGTATAGCACTCTGTGCCTTGTGCAGATGGTCATGGATTCGTATCTATCTAAGATGGTAAACTTCAGAGATCTTGGCCTACGCCATGTGAGTCTGCATGTCCCCACCATTCAACCCCACTTTCATAACAGGCGGACATTGCGTGTTGAATTGCATTCATATCACCTGAAGTTGTACACCAGGATATCATACTTTTCCTGATAAAGATGGGTATTTAAACTAGCATCATCCATGAACTTGGTTTTCTATTCTACCTGTTGTTTTTAGATCAAGATCATTTCTAAGATAGGATCACCTCACAGGATGAAGTAATGATTAAGTGAACATTCATCAACCTCTTAAAACAGTGCCTCGCATACAGTAAACACCTGATAAAGTGCATCTGCTTTTGTTATCATCTTTAGCCTTTGAAATAGACATTTTAAATACTTATCCTAATGATGAAAATTTTAATGTATATCCGAATAATAAAAAATTTTTTTAGACATTATAAATTGTTTCCTTAATGTCAAAACTTAGATTTCTAAGAAATATCAAAAATTTATTTCATCACTTTTTTGGTCTCTTTTTTATTGGTCATGCTGATAAACGCTGAAATTCTTTAAAGGTATTTAGAGGAAAAATTAATGGCAAATTAAGAAGCTCAAATAAGTAAAAATAAATTTCCTGGGCAATAAAAATTTCGCTGTATATTTGGGGCAAGCTTAAATATATCATAATAGCTAACAATGTGGGCTCCCTGATATATGCTTTATATATAGTCTGGATCAGGTTACTTTTTCTCTCCCTGAGCCTCATCATCTCCATCTGTAAAATGAGATAATACTACTCAATAGGGCTGTTGTGAGAATTAAATGAGTTAATACATGTGAAGTATTTAATGTGCAGCCAGGTACATAGTCAGCATTCAGTAAACGTTATCTATGGATAGAAAACCAAGAAAGCGGAATCCCTACTTCTAAAGATGAACATTTAAATTTTTTTCCCTCCTTTTCTGAGCACTAAATTTGTAATTAACTACTTTTTTATCCTTGTGTTTATAGCCTAGTCTTCTGGATTCCTCATCCATGGTTCCTGCTTGCTAATTTCCCTGGTAATACCTACAGACTCATGATAGTTTGGGTTTCAAGTCTTAAACCCCTCTGAGTCTGAAATTTTCTCATCTGTTAAGTAAAGAAAATAGCAATGCTTACCACAGAGGACTACTGAGTGTTTCAAAAGAGCTAATACCTGAAAGTTCTTAGTACCGTGTTTGGCACATAGTGAGCATGCAATAAACATCATCATTATTTCTGTTGGATGAGGAAGCATTCCTTGTCATCCCAACAAGCTAGGAGTTTAATCTTAACAAAACAACCCATTAAAGCCTATTTTTGAAAAGAATTCTTGATAAGGAGGTTAAAATGTTTGTGGTCACTTCCTCCATACCGAAGAGCAATTCTCTGGGACACCAGCAGGGTGTCCGAGAATTCAACTCAATTCTGCCACTGTCTACCTGGAGATGGAATCAGATTCCATGGGCAAAGGGCTTAGTCCTTAGTCACAAGACCTCCCTTCACTTCAGACTCCAGATAAGCCCAGGTTGTCACCTGTACTTCTGACTGACCAGTTGGCTATAATAAGAGGTTCCCATGATTCCCTCCCTGGGTTCACTTAATTTGCTAGAACGGCTCACAGAACTCAAGAAAACTCATTTACTCTTTAGATTACTGATTTATTACAAAAGATGGTAAAGTGTATGCATCAACAGCCAGAGGAAGAGACACATAGGGCAAGGTCCTGAATGAAGCTCAGAGAGTTTCTGTCCTTGTGGATCTACGGGCCCATCGTGGTGGCAAAGCGTTTTGGTTTTCCATTTTGGAAGCTCTGAAAAAAAGGACAAGGAGCTATCCTTTTGAGTTTTTATGGAGGCTTTATTACAGTCATGATTGACTAAGTCATTGGCCATTGGCCATTTATTCAACCCTCAAGCTCCTCTTCTCTCCCTGGAAGTCAGGGAGTGGGACTGAAAGTTTCAGTCCTCTAAACCACAGGGTGGCTCCAATGACAACCAGCTCCGATCCTGTGGTGCTTGCAAAACATAACATAACAAAAGACACCTCGATCACGCTCAAAACTTAGGAAATTCCAAGGGTTTTGGGAGTGCTGTGCCGGAAATGGGGATGAAGACCAAATATTTGTCTCTTGTTATGAATCACAATATCACAGGAGGTCTCTGTATCTGTTTTCACTATTTCAGACATTTCTACAAGTGATTTCTGTGGTAGGCGTGGCGGTGGCGGTGATTCCTTGGATTGTGATACCTTTGGTTCCCCTCTGCATCATTTTCTTTGTTCTTCGTAGTTTTTTCTTAGAAACATCAAGAGATGTCAAACGCCTGGAATCTACAAGTGAGTACCAAGACTCTTGGGTTGGGATGGCAATGTAAGTAAGCTAGCTTCCATTCATGCCATAATTAAAGAGATCCCTGAAATTCTGCAGACTCCGTATTTTGAAATTTCTCATGAAATAAATGTTAAGTAACTGAATACAATGGCCACCATTAATCATTGTGGGCTCGAAGGCAAATAGATCTAGTGGCATGCCAGGTGCAACTTTCAGTTTAGTACAAAGAAGGAATGGAGGATGTGTGTAGAATAATACTCCTCGGAAGTGTGCGCTCCATGAAGACAGGGACCATTTCTGTCCTGTTCATGACATACTTCCGGATACAGAGCAGGAAAGCAATAAAAGTTTTTATGGGATATAAAATATTTCATGTTTTAACTGGTATAGAAGGAAAATAGAAAATTATTCTTCCTTTGAATTTATTAGAAATGACAAGGAAAAGATCAGGGGAAGGAAAGGAAGCATTGAGAAACATACTCATGTCAGAAGTGATACATTTGAAAAATATATTACTTTCACATACTCAAAAAATGGCAAATAAGTTGTGGTTGTTAAATGTTTTGAAAGATAAGCACTGTTATTTTCAGTTTTGCTCTTTATTGTCACCAGTATTTGGTGTAGTGCCACACTGTTTGACATTTTCTTTCCCTCCTGGGCCATCCCCTTAGGAGGACACAGGAAAGGGATCAGTTTAGTATGCATTTAGTCTATTACTCTATTCAGCTTCCTAGTTTTGGAATAATAGAGAAAGCACTTTATGATTAATCATTCTAGTCTATAGATAATCGCAGAGGATGGAGTAATTCAGAGCCTATCTCAATATTGCACAACCATATTTCATTATTATTAAAACAAAAATAAGAATAGATTTTTATTTTTTAAAAAGGTACAAGGATGATAGCCAAAACATAAAGAAGGAAGATATTTGTATCGGAAACCTCAACTTTGGATAGTTACTACAAACTAATACTAACTCGGATTTCTGGGAACCAAGCTAAGGAGAGAAACATTGATTCCCATGGTTTTTCCTACTTACCAAGTGGAAATATACAAGTTCGTTAGGATAAAGCAGTTTTTTTGTTGTGGCAAATGTGTTTCTTTTTAAGTAATGAACTCTGGAAGAGGCATTTGTCTTAAGTATTTGCATAAAGGATAGTGGGTGACAGTTTCATGAAAGCTGTAGAAAAAATTTTCAGTCATCAAGTGCGGTTTGGTTTTCTGAGGTGTTTCAATGGGATGGTGGAGCAGAGTTGACCTGATGTGTGTGACATTCTGCTGATATGACTTGTTATGATGATAGGACTTGGAGAAGGCAGAATAAGTGACAGACTCCAACCAGTCTTTTGTATAGACAATAAGGCTTTAGACCTTTTATGATTTGAGGCCACTTATGAAATGGAGTCATCCCATGTTGTCACAAAGGAGGTAGTCTCTAGTATATTCAAAGAAAGGTTGTGTTCCATGTGGAAGTAGAGAGAAGGGGACCTCTTGAGACTTTTTTCTGATCTGGAGATTCTGAGAACTTTGGCATGGTCCCTGTGGAATATTTGGGTTTTCCTGAACCCCAGTAGGCAGTGACAATGAGTTAGACAGTAAGTTAAATCCAGATCCTCCCTCCTCCACACCCCCAAATAACCAAATGTTGTGGCCAGTTGATTAGAACTTTTTATTGTTATTTATCTGAGTAGTCTGTGCCATATATAACAATTCCACTGTTTCTTCTGGGCAGTAATTGATAGTACCTCTTGAGGTCACTGCTGGAGCCGCTAGCAAAAAGAAAGGACCTGATTGCCATGGCTAGTAGGCATAAACCTACTTCCTCTTTGTGCTTTGAAGGACTACTGAAGTTTTATTTTCAGATAATACTGCCTAGCTGACTCTTAGTGACAAATCTGCAGTTGATCATAATGGTTTTTCATTTTTGCAAAAGTGAGCATAGCTATGCTCCGTCATAGAGAAGTGCATAAAACCAGGATGGCATTTGGTTGTGTATTTCTCTAGCCAACTCTATTCATTTAGCAATGCCTGAATTATGAAGACATATCGAAATTCTGTCTGTAAGAGTTCTGTGATTAACTAGCAATGTCTGCCAGGGGCATTGCTATGGGAGCATTACTTGTGTGCCACGTTTTCAGGCTGTAAATTCTCATGCCAATTCCTAGGGACTTTGTTCAGCTTAAGGTGCTTAATAAGAAGTACAGTAATGGGTAAGGCTACTGGATATTAACTAAGCAAGATTTGGGGATTTTCTAAAGAAACAAAGTCTAGAGAATAATGCATTTAGTCATGTGGGCATCTTTAACCCCTGATCATTCTCTCTGAGACACAGTGGTTGTGATTAAAAGCACAGCCTTGGGAATAAGATAGTTTTGGGTCTGACACTCAGCTCTACCACTTACTTGGGTTAATTTACTTAATTTTGGGCAGTGCTCTTAATCCCTCAGTCTGTTTTTCCCTCTGTCAAGGTAATGTACCTGCCCTCTGGGGTTCTTGTGAGAATTACTTAAGTTGATGCTTGAAAAGTGCTTGCTAGCACTAGAACCTTGAACATGAGGCAGTTAAGAACATAATAACAGCTAGTAGGTCTCATGTAGCATTAATGATAACCTGTAGCAAGGCTGTCAGCCCAGGGTCCTTTCATGCAGTTCTCTGCCCTCCCTCTTCCCAGAGAAGATTAGCAGTCCTTGTGGAATATGTACTAAAGAATCCTCAGGGTCATAGAAAACACAGCTGTCAATGTTGTGAAATGTAGAGTTATATTTGTCTGTGACTGCTAATGCCATGGGTGTTACATAGGTCTACTTTAGGATAGCCAGCTCAGTCTGTGGTAACAAAGGATATTACATTGGTCAAGATGATACTGAAGCCTTGGCATCCCCTCTTCATTTGTACTAATTAACTTTTTTTTGCCGACTCTCCAATTCGCTCATCCTGGCATTCCACTCAGCCCTAAGTGGGGTGTGAAAGAAACAGGATAGCTTTTCACAAGTCTAGATTCCTGATGTACCAGCTGTACCACTATAGCACTTGAGTATGAGGTAAAGTAGATGATGTGTTCTTTGGGTACCCTGGTGTTCCAGGCTGGATGACACCTGATTTCTAAAGTCGACCTTGCCACATAATCATTGCCACTTTGATCTGGTGAGGGAAGCAAGCGAGGATGTCCAAGCTGAAGAATTTAATTCAAATACTCTTTCCTGGTTGAACACCACATCTACTTCCTTCTCAGAAGAATCGCCTATAACGAAATTGTTTATTTGCTTTGGACATGAGAGCGTGGTTCTAGTGGGTTCTCTACACTGCCTGGACTCTCTCGATAGAGTAATGGGCCCTAGAATTATCCTGAACCATCCCTATGAGCACCCTGTATCCAGACTGTGTTCTGGGGAAAGGTTGGGACATCTGCTGGGGAGTGCAGAACCAGACCTGTCAGAGCTTCCGGCCTTTCTTATTTTAAGCATGAGCTCCATCTATATTCATACTGCTGTCTTAAAAGTACAAAGTTAAAAGAAGCTAAAATGAATACAAGTTTAAAATTACTCAGTATAATGAAGAGAGAGAACACTGTAGATGCTAGAGTAAGATCACAAACATACAACTGGTTGATCAGAACCATCCCAGAATCACTTAAGGCTTTTTGCCTGAATTAGATTCAAGGGAAAATGTTAGGCCATGTCCCAGTTTAGAGAAAGTTTTTCCCCTTAAAGCACTATTACAGGTGAGGGTCCCTAATGGTTAATGTTCTCAGTCAAAAAAGAGCCCCAGGGCTAAGTGGATAGTCAGCTAGCCCACGGCCCAGGCTGTCCCTCCCACTGCCCATGTCTTTTCACTGTCTCTGAACCCCAGTGCCACACATGGAAGCCTGCTTCTTCTTTGCATGTAGAACTGTGGTTGCTAAGTGCAGGAGGAGGGTCCATGTCTGCACATTTGTGGAAGAGCCCCAAGGCTGAATGGATAGTCAGCTGACCCACGGCCCAGGACCACCCCTCCAAACACACACACACACACACACACACACACACATTTCCCCTTAAAGCACTATTACAGGTGAGGGTCCCTAATGGTTAATGTTCTCAGTCAAAAAAGAGCCCCAGGGCTAAGTGGATAGTCAGCTAGCCCACGGCCCAGGCTGTCCCTCCCACTGCCCATGTCTTTTCACTGTCTCTGAACCCCAGTGCCACACATGGAAGCCTGCTTCTTCTTTGCTTGTAGAACTGTGGTTGCTAAGTGCAGGAGGAGGGTCCATGTCTGCACATTTGTGGAAGAGCCCCAAGGCTGAATGGATAGTCAGCTGACCCACGGCCCAGGACCACCCCTCCAAACACACACACACACACACACACACACACACACACACACACACACACACACACATATGCAGTGCTCACATAAACTTCAGTATTGACTGAACTGACACACAGACAGGTACCTGGCTGCTAGGCTAAGGAGTCAAGCCCTGAAAATAAGTTTGAGTTTTTCCCTTGAGTCTTTTTTTCCATCATTTTATAAAATCTGCAGCTTCCTGTAAGATAAGTGATCTTCACTTCCCCTAAACACCCAAGTTTTACTAACGTCTTCTCTAGGAGATTCACAAGTACCAAAGTGATAAGTCAGTACTTCTGGTAAAAGCGCAGATTATTACTCATTGCAGAAAGAGGTCACAGGCTCACGATCTGCCTCTGATGATAACTAGTTACAGCCTCATTCATGGTGGGGAATAAAACTATAAGGGATTGTCCCTGCCTAGAAGCATGCAGTCTACCTGTTCCCCAATGTGCAGGAGCCAGACCATGGTCCTCTTACAGTGTGCTCTCAGAGAAGATGGCAAAGAAACCAATGGCCAGTCATGTGACATCAGGCTCCAAGCCAGTGCGAAGTTACTCAAAAGAGAATGGCCACTAAGATCACTGTCAAATTCTGAAAGGTCGATGTCACTGCCATATGTCGTGGTAAGCTCCAATCACCAGGACAAGTGCCTGGTAGGGAAGTTATAAAAATATCCATCAGGTTCCTTGTGCTGAAATTAAGACTATTGAAAGACATCTTGGCTCTGTAGGTTTTGTGGGCATAAGGGGAATACAGTACACAGGCGTGCAGCAACCCATACAGAGACCCTTGGTGCACCAGCATCTCAGGATGCCGGGGGATAGCAAACTGTCCACCTTACCTATCATGCACTTGTCCTATGCCAGGTTTGGGGATATACTATTGACTTTATCCCGGCCCTTAAGAAGTTAATAATCTAAAGTAGAGACAGATACCTGGCTAATCATAATTCAGTGTGGTAAGTACTCTTAACAGAGAATTAAATTTAAAAATGCTACTGACTCAAAAATTAGTGAACAATAATTTCTGCCTGGAGGGATGTCAAGGCAGAATATGGAGGGAGGCCATGTTTGGGGAAGATCTCGAGGAATGAGTTCATAAAGAAATCTAAATCTAGTTATGCTTTGGATTTGGTCAAAGGTTCAAAGAGAAGCTTTTATATACAGGTCATTAAAGTGAAGCATGGTGTGAACAGGAGGTTGAGGGCTGACGCAGAGGGTACTCTTCAGGAGGGAGGAGGAGTCCCTTCTCCCCAGAGCAGCCTGCTGGGAAGCCCTAGATGTGCTGTTTGGTGGGACTTGCCACCACAGAGCACGGGAGGCAGTTGGTTTCCTTGCATCCAGTCTCACTGGCTTTATCTGTCATTTGTCTTTCTCTGCTTCCCCAGCACGGAGCCCAGTGTTTTCCCACCTATCATCTTCTCTCCAGGGTCTCTGGACCATCCGGGCATACAAAACTGAAGAGAGGTTTCAGGAACTGTTTGATGCACACCAGGATTTGCATTCAGGTCTGTAAGTTTCTGGAAACATCTTCAAAGGATGGAATATGCTGCTTTCTGAGGCTTGACCTCCCTCTCAGGTAGCCTTATTGGCTAGCACCTCTCTCTGCCTCCCCCTCAGACATCCTGTCTGCTCATCTTCCTCCTCCCCGCTTCCCCTTGGCCGTAACTTCTCTCAGAGTCCCATCTGCGCCCTCCTCTTCCCCAATCATGCCACTGCTTTTCTCCCACTGACTGGCTTGCATTGTCCTTCCCTCGCCATGCCCTGTGACTTTTTTGTCCCTTTAGAGTTGGGGTCAGTGAACTTTTTTTTGCAAAAGGCCAGATAGTAAATATTTTAATTTTGTGCACCATATTGTCTTTATCGCAACTACTCAACTTTGCCAAGTAGCATGAATACAGCTAAAGATAATACATAGCAAATGACTATGGCTGTGTTCCAATAAAACTTCATTTACAAAAACAAGGTGGTGGGCCATTCTTGGCCCACGGGCTGTAGTTTGCCAATTTTTTTTTCAGAGCATACAGGATGGCAGAAGTGACTAAGGAAGTCAAATTCCTGATGATCAGATTTGCCACCCATTTGACGTATATTATTCTTTGTAATAGTGAAGCTTTTTCAATGTAGAAATTTCAGAATTTCCTCTAAGTTTGTAAAATCCTGGCTCATCTTTATCATGTTTTGAAGATAGAATGACACTTTGAAAACCACATGCAGATCCTTTTATTTAGCAGAATGGTCATTTCGATAGAGGCTCCTAAGGAGTAAACACTGTGTGCAGGGCCCTGTATGGAGCTGCACTCTCTGCTGTTAGAGAACTGGGAACAGTCGACCATATCAAAGGATGAGCTTCACGTTGAAGCCCAGCGCTACACGAGATGCACTGATGAAACCGTTGTTCCATGTTCTTTAATAGTACATTTCTGTTTATAACCTGTGGGTTGAATTTTTCAATGCATGCTTCCCAAAAAGCCACTGCACTGATTCCTAAGTGTACCATATACATTGCCTCGTATCACACTTAGCTTTCTGGAATCTTCAGAGTCCTTAAGTATGCAACATTGTTGTCCTACTTTGTATAAAAGTCTTCTGTAGTTCAACTGAGCAAAATGTTCCCCCTTGTTCAAAGCAGTTAACGTGTTCTTTCTACTTATTCATGGTGCTTCTTATGGTTCACAAATCCAGAGGCCTGGTTCTTATTTTTGACTACGTCCCGATGGTTTGCCATGCGTCTGGATGCCATCTGTGCCATCTTTGTCATTATTACTGCCTTTGGGTCGCTGATTCTGGCAAAAAGTAAGTACAGATGTGAATAACTATTTATGGTATGATTACAATTTATAACTACATTTACAATTATTAAATTAAACTTTAGCCACTTTGTCTAATATCATAAACAGTTTGGTTCAGTGAATTGTATTAAAGTGTTTGCAGTATGTCAGGTTAGGCGTGATTCCCCACTGTGGCCCATGTAGAGGAGTCATTTGCATCTGGATGAGTTCTTTTTATCTTTCTTAAATGGGTTAAGACATACATAAATGTCATAAGCTGACCTAAACATCCTGGTAGTGTCCAAATTTACTGTTAAGACTTTTGTCCAGTTTAAGGCTTAAGGTTTTAGCTTTAGGACGATTCATATCCCTTGGCTATAGGTGCCCGGTGCAC